GTTTTTGCGAAAAGTCCGAGGCGGTTCGCACATTTTCGGGTCGTCCGAACTGGACCCGAAATTTGTTTGGCACAAGTCCTGTTGATTTGGCCACTTTCAGATAGGTCGAGAAAATTTTCGGGTCGTCGCATGACCGAACCCGAAAGCTTTTTTCGAGGAAGTCCTATGCCGTTTGCTCATTCTGGTCCGTACACCGTTTGGGATTCAAAATTCTAAGTTCCGAAAGGGAACCCGATCCCGTGACCCCGGGCAGGGGCTGCGCTCTGCCCTTGCATTGTACTGGGCCCCTCCGGCCAAACGGGGCGCCGGCCTGCCCATCCGCGCGCCGACTCTGCCCTCGCGACATCGCCCACCTCCGCCCATCGGACCCCGCGAGTCTCATCCTGCGCGCGCAATCCCAGATGGCCCCGGCGAGCACGGTGGCGAAATTGGGGAAACCTTCGGAGCGGCGCAGTATGTGGAGCCTTCGCGCTTGCGTCACGATACGAAAAGAAGCGTCGCATCCCTTGGTCAGTGGAGAGAACGTCTGGGCTGGGTGCTTCCACAATTTTAAGCCAAGAGCTGTCGCATCTGGCCACGCGTGAACACTCGCTCCGTAATTTTCTAGGTTCCCGCCCTCCCTCTCGGTGCCCCTCGTCTTCCCCGCTTTCGAATGGGAGATCCTGGTGCGTGCCTGTCTCAATTTCTTTCAACGCCTCATCTCCCGGCAGTCTCGGTTTCGCTCTGTGGCGGCCCCTATGTGGAACCTCCGCGCTTGCATCGCGATAAGAAAGGAAGCATCGCATCCCCTGGTCAGTGGAAAAAACGCACGGGCGATGATTCTGTGTACATATATATATAGGAATACATATGTATATATATATATATATATATACATAGACGCAGGTGTATGTATAAGTATATACAAGACGGCATTGGCGCTTCGCGCCATGCACCTTGTTCCTTTCGAGTTCGAACGCAGGCGGCGTGCGCGCGCGTGGACGTGGGACCGGCTACCGCCAAGTCGGAGTGGGTCAGGACCTAAGCGGGATCGTTTGGCAAGCTCAGGGCGTTTCTGTGCCCAGAGGCGCGCGGAAGTCTCAGGCGACTGGTTGGGGTAGCATGAAGCAGGGCATTATCCTTCTTGTTCTTCCTCCGCATTTTCCTGTCCCTTCTTTCTCCTCTTCATGTTCATAGTATTTCTGCTCTTCCCTCCTTTTCCTCATTCCGCTTCCTTCTCCTATCCTTTTCCTTTTCCTCTACTTGTTCCTGTTTGTTTTGTCCGCTTGCTATTTTCGGCATGCGCGCTGCTGTGTGGCCGGCTTATTGCAGATGGCGTTCCTGTTGTTTCGTTTTTTCGTTTATTGTTGTCGCTTCCGATTGTCTCTTGAGGCGTCTAGATGCCTCCAAGACGGCTCCAGATGACTCCCCGGACGAGCCCCAAAGAGACCCAAGGCTGGCGTAATTGGGCCCTGAGAGTGGGGCCCAAGGATGGACAAGTGTAGGAATATCATTGGAAAAGCTAGGTTGTTGGTCTTCTCGCCTTGTCGCTTCCGATTAGGTCAGGGGGCGTCCAGACAGCTCCAAGACGTCTCCAAATGAGTCCGCAGGCGAACCCCAAACAGGCTCAAGGCTGGCGCCACAGGGTCCAGAGATGGCGCAACTCGGCCTGGAGAGTGGGGCCCAAGACTGGACAAAGGTAGGAACATCATTGGAAAAACGAGGCTTTTGGTCTTCTCGCCTTGTCGCTTCCGATTGGCTCTTGAGGCGTCGAGACAGCTCCAGGACAGCTCCAGATGAGGCCACTGACGAGCCCCAAAGATGCCCAAGGCTGGCGCAACAGGGCCCAGAGAGTGGGAAAAGCAGAGAACACGCAGTAGAAAAGCAATGTTTTAGGCTTTCCCGCTTTTCACTTCTGGTTGACTCGGGGGGCGCCCAGGCGACCCCAGGACGGCCACAGGGAGGCGCAAGGCAGGCCCGAGAATTCCAAAGTGTCTTGGGGGAAGGCGAGGGAAGAGGGCCCCCCCCCGGCCCTATAGGGCCCGGAGAGGGGGGCCCAGAGGTGGACAAATGTAGGAAAATGATGGGAAAGGCCAGATTTTTGGTCTTCTCGCCTTGTCGCTTCCGATTGGCTCTTGAGGCGTCCAGATGCTTCCAAGACGGCTCCAGATGAGGCCACAGACGAGCCCCAAAGATGCCCAAGGCTGGCGCAACAGGGCCTGGAGAGTGGGAAAAACAAAGCCAACGCAGTAAAACAACAGCAATGTTGTCGGCCTTTTCGCTTGTACACGATCGCTTGATTCGGGGGGCGTCAAGACGACCCCAGGATGGCCGCGTCAAGGCGCAAAACAGGCCCGAGGAGGCGAAATTCGTTGGAGGGGTTAGCGCTGGGAGGGGGTTCCCCAGCTTTTTCAAATATAGAAATAGGAATATCCAGGGCATGGAAAGCCCTATTCAGAGGCCGCCGGCATCACAAATAACACCAGAGGTCCTGCAGCGTATTGGCAGCCCACCACAGTGCCCGCCTACTACGCAGAGGACATTTGCAGCTGTCTCTCATGGCATGGTAATCCCCACATTCCAGAGTTTGCCGTCATCGCAGAGGGCAGATACTGTTTCTCAGGTCATGAGGGCCCAGCTCACAACTCACTGGCTTCGAGGTGAAACTACGAGCTCGGCCGATAAGACAGCTTCGCTGATCGCATACGCCCGTGCCATCGCTGGAAAACATGGGGTAAGCGTGCCCCCTGAGCCTTGCACCTCCACTCCTCCGTGTGTGGCCCCCCCGTGCCCCCCCCCGTGTGCCAAAGCCTATCCAGCATAGCTCCAGAATTGCGAACCGAGCTTCTACGGACACATTCCAAGGCAGCGAAAGTGCTCCGAAGCGGCTCCGTCGGTCGTCCGCTCCCCCTTTTCAGCCCCAGCGCCGGCAACATCCGATTCGTGGCGCCTCTGTACCTCCTGTCTCCAGGCAAAGTGCAGAGATCGACACGCGTACGATGGGTGCCATCATGAGACTTGTGGGATCGTGGAGGCGTTAAGACCTGCGGTGCGATTTCCCTCAGTGTGTGACTGTAGCCCGGTCCTAGAGGCATTATGTGATTGCTGACATCACGACCTGCTGCATCCGAAGGGTCCGATCCGATACATATATATGTGTATATATATGTATATATATATGTATACACATACGTGCATACATATATATATACACATACATACATACATACATACATACATACATACATACATACATACATACATACATACATACATACATACATACATACATACATACATACATACACATATATATATATGTATATATATATATATATATATATATATATATATATATATATTATCGGAGGTGAGGGGGTGAGATCGAAGTGGAACGGAGAGCCCCCCTACCGGGAAATCGATTTCGGTTTCGTGTTCGTGCGTGCCGTGCGGGCGAGGCGAAGCTGCGTGGGCGGGCGAGAGAAAGTCTCCTGTGGCTGAGGCGCGGCCGGACCAAATGATTCTCCGCCGGGCGGCCGGTGGCGCGCGGTGTCCCGCCGGTGTCCCGCTGGTGTCCCGTCGGTGTCCCTGTGGCTGAGGCGCGGCCGGACCAAATGTGTCTCTTCCGGGCGGCCGGTGGCGCGCGGTGTCCCGCCGGTGTCCCGTTGGTGTCCCGTCGGTGTCCCGTCGGTGTCCCGATGATGATGTGGATGATTATGATGATGATGATGATGATGATGATGATGATGATGATGATGATGATGATGAATGATGATGATGATGATGATGATGATGATGATGATGATGATGATGATGATGATGATGATGATGATGATGATGATGATGATGATGATGATGATGATGATGATGATGATGATGATGATGATGATGATGATGATGATGATGATGATGATGATGATGATGATGATGTGGTTGTTGTTGATGATGATGATGATGACGTCGAGTGTTAGATCGATTGTGACATCGATAGTGAGACCGAATGTGAGATCGATTGTGAGATCGATAGTGAGATCGATTGTGAGATCGATAGTCAGATCGATTGTGAGATGATAATGGTGATGATGGTGATGATGATAATGATGGTGATGATGGTGATGATGGTGATGATGATGATGATGATGATGACGATGATGATGATGATGGCGTCGATTGTGAGACCGATAGTGAGATCGATAGTGAGACTGAATGCGAGACCGAATGTGAGATCGACTGTGAGATCGATTGTGAGATCGATAGTGAGATCGACAGTGAGACCGAATGTGAGACCGAATGTGAGATCGATTGTGAGATCGATTGTGAGATCGATAGTGAGATCGATAGCGAGATCGATAGTGATATCGATAGTGAGATCGAATGTGAGATCGATTGTGAGATCGATAGCGAGATCGATTGAGTGAGACGTTGGTTCCCCCTCCCCCCTCACCTCCTTATCACCCGCAGGGTGGTCGTATAGGTATACATATAAAAAATGTATGTGTATGCATTGCCGCTGCGAAAATGTTGACCTATTTCGTGGTCCCAACAATACAATGCCGAATGAAGGCTCCAATGGTGGGCAGTGACCATCACGCCATTGAGCCCCAGAGCCTGCGAGCAGCAAGACGCCCCATTTCAACGCCGAACCCTAACAGGTTCAAATTGAGATTTGGAGGTGGTCATGGGCGGAATCGCCATTTTGATTTTGAATTGAAAGGGTTTTGACTTATGTTTTGGAGGAATATTTGGCGGAATCGCCATTTCGATTTTGAACCCGAGAAACATAGACTTCGGTCGACCTGTTTTGGTTTGTAGGAAGTCTCAACCAGAGTCGTCGTTCCGATCCGGGCAACCCGTTTGGCATTTGAAATATTACACTCGGTAGCCCCAATATTCGAAAGTGTGGTTGTCGCATGGGATTTCCTAGAAAAAACGTCGATCCGCTTTGCCGATTCGATGTTGGTTGATCCCGGGAAGGGTGGGAAGGGTCCCCCGAGTACGGTTTGTCTTGGAAAGTCGGGCAGGCCATCAGAGACAAGACCAAGCTCGAGGTGCAGTTCAGGAAGGCCAGCATGGACCTCCAGGCGGTGACAGGCAAGCGGTTCCGCACGTTCCTCCCTTCCGCCTCGGCGTCGGCCCCAGGATGTGGTAAATTGTTGACGCTTCGCGTCCTGAAAGGTCGGCGCCGCTCAGCGTCCCTCGGCGGCAGCTTTGGCAGCCGTGAGTGCGCTCGCTGGATAATTAGGTTCCGCCCGTAGCCCGGGTCGACCCTTGACGCCGCCTGCGCCTTCGCTTGCGGCCGCGACCAACAAAAAGTAACCCTGAAAGGTCTTTAATGTTATTCGGCCACCCCCAAAAAGTTTTCGGCTGGCAATTCAACTCGTCCTTCGCATCATCATCATTTTTTGCTTCGAACCTGTGCAGCCTCCAATTTGTTCCTGACGTCGAGGAAAACATGATGCTGATGCTGATGCTGATGCTGATGATGATGACGCTGATGATGATGACGCTGATGATGATGATGATGATGATGATGATGATGATGATGAGGATGAGGATGATGATGATGATGGTGATGATAATGATGATGTTGATGATGATGATGATGATGATGATGATGATGATGGTGGTGGTGGTGGTGGTGGTGGTGATGATGGTGATGATACTGATGATGATGATGATGATGATGATGATGATGATGATGATGATGATGATGGTGATGATGATGATGAGCATCAGCGGTGGCCGCCGCCAGGGACTTGTTTTTTCAGTAGCGTTGGGGGTCCCAATCCGTCCATGAGACCGCGCAGAACGAAATTGTTCTCCATTATTGGGGGAGTGAAAGACCCTTCGCGGTTAGCCCCACCAGCCCATCCAGGAACGATCAACGATGCCCAGGAGCTGTCGGGATGATAAGTGACATGCCATGGATGGAAACAGGTTGCCGTTCGAGGGACGCGATTGCCCAGCGGAGCACGGGCGGAGACTGCCGCTGAACATGTACAGAAATGAACACGAATCGCGCTTGCCCATGTTCGGAAACTGGAACATATACATTACCAGTGGCGGGCTGTTTTTCAATCCCACGACTTTTTGAGGGTCGGGGACGACGTCGGGGTGTTGTGGTGTATACTTTTTGTCCCATTTCCCGGGGGGGAGCATCAAACAATGTATACGCCAGGATCCGTACACACCAGGATTCGTTTTCCTGTGCGCATTTCAGTGCGGGGCTGGAAAAAGCGTCGGTGTATAGAGTTCGGCTCCTTGTATGTTTCGACCTGCGGTCGTTGATTCGTGGGCTGCGGCCCATCTCACGGTGGAGTTCCAACGTTATGACTTGGTTCCCCTCGAGGCTCGCTTGGGATCCTCCCGGACCTTTCGGGCCATGTCGGAGGCCGCCGTGCACAACAAGGAGGCGGCGAGGACCGGCGCTGGCTCCCAGTGGCTCCCGGGAGCCCTCTTGGGCCTCGTTTGGGCACTGTTGGGGCCGTCTTGGTTCTTTTCCTGGGCCCCTCTTGGAGCTGTCTTGGGCGAGCTTGTGGCGGGCCATCTTGTGGCCTCGGAGGCCCCTCGGCAGCGAACGGGCAAGAAGGCGAAAGCGGTGATGTTCTCTGCCCGTGGAATGGTGCTGGCCTCTCACTTGGCGCGGTCTTGTGCTGGTCCTGAGGCCTCTCAGCGGCATGCTGGAGAATATCTTGGAGGCCATCTTGAGCTATCTGAAGGCATCTTGGTGAGCCATCTTGGAGCCATCTTGGTTGGCTCCATATAGCCTCCCCAGGGTGCCTTCTAGATGACAGCACATTTCAAACACCTACGGTGTTTCAATGGTTTTGGCTTCGAGCGAAGGAGTCAGTTGAGCCCGAGTAATCCTCTTTGGATGGCCTCTTAGGATTCTCCTGTGTGGCCGTCTCGAAGCCCTGATGGGCCCCTTTTGGGACTCTGTCGGGCGTTCTTGGAGCCATCTTGAGATCTCAAAACGCATCGGATGCGAAAGGGCGAGAAGGATCAATCATACGCGGAGCTAAGGCGAGAGTCACATTTTGAAAACCGCCCGCCCTCCATCCGTGAAAATGTTGCATTGCAAACTTCAAGCTCAAGGATTATAAGTGGTGAGGAAGTCTCAGGAGAAACGCCCAGCACGCCTGGCCGACACGTCCTGAGTTGCGACGGGAGCAGCTATTTGTAAGGAACGGGATGGAAGAGGAGGAGGAGGAGGCGGAGGAGGAGGAGGAGGAGAAGGAGGAGGAGAAGGAGGAGGAGGAGGAGGTCGAGCCGATGGAGGAAGCGCTCGAACAATACAGGCACCGCTCGTCTTCCAGGAAGACCCGCATGGCTCCCAGCGGGGCGGAGGAGGCGACGGCCCCACGGGTATGAAGCTTGCCCTCCAGCAAAACTACCCGCCTTCGGCGAGGAGTTCGCGCACCTTCTCCCGAAATTGGGGCGGCCAGGGACGGAGCGACGAGCGAATCGTGGCGACGAGGGAGTCTGCGCGACGGGTGACTCCGCAAGGGCGCGGCCAGCCGGCTCCGCCGAGCACGCCACCAGCGGGGTCCGAGTCCGCGCCTGCACCAGCCCCCCCTCTGCTCCGCGCGCCGCGGCCGTGCGCGCCGCGGGCGCCACCCGCGCAGCCGCCCCCCGCGGCAGGCGCCGGCAGCCTCTGTCGGACCCCGAGCCCGAGGCCCTCCCCGCCGCGCCAGGCTTCGCGGCCTCCGCCGCGGCGGGGGCGCCCGCAGCCCCCGCCGCGCCCGGCCGGCGCCACCGCGGCGCCCGCCGCCCCAACCGCTGCAGCCAGCGCCCTGCCGGGGTCGGGGCCGCGACCAGGGCGGCGCCGATCCTCGGGCGACGAGGTCTACAACACACGTGCAGTGCCCCTGGCCCCACTTTTATGGGCCTGGCCATCTGGGCCTGGCCATCTGGGCCTGGCCATGTGGGCCTGGCCAGGGCCAGTAGATGTGATTACATACAGATCTCGTCTCCTGGAATCCCGCCAGATCTCGTCTCCTGGAATCCCGCCCTGCAGGACGCACCCAGCCCGCCTGGCCCGCTGCGCCGCCGCGCGCTGGCGCCGCCGTACAGATCTCGTCTCCTGGAATCCCGCCCTGCAGGACGCGCCCGCCCCGCCGCGGCCGGCCCGCTGCGCCGCCGCGCGCTGGCGCCGCCGCGCGACGGCGCCGCCGCTGCCGCAAGGCCGCCCTCGCCGCCGCAGAGCGCGCGGCCCGGCTTGCCGTTCGGCTCCTAAGGCGCGCCGCCGGCAGGCGCTTGCGGTGGCCGTCGGCCTGACCTCCCCGCGCAGGGGGAGGGCGCGGCGGAGGCCGCCGAGCGCGCGGCCTCGGCGGCCGTGCACCGCGCCGGCTGCGCGGCAGAGCGGCGCGTCGCCGAAGTGGCCTCTGCCAGGCGGGGCGCGGACTCGGCCCAGGATAGGTCGTTCCAGAGCGTCGGAGGTTGACAGACCTCCTACCCTGACGCGTCGATTAGCGAATCGGCCGTTTTCGGTTCGCGAGAGGGCGTCGCGGCCGTCGTTTTTGCGGGGCCAGGTCCGTCGGCTTCGGCCCCAGGCCGTTTTCACTAAGGGGAGGTGTACTAAAGGGAGGTTTGCCCATCGCCGAAAGCGCTCCGCAACGCCCTCTCAGCGCTCTGGAACGGCCGCGGCACCCGATTCATCCTTCAGAGCCGCCGGGTCTCAGAGATCCCAGATTTATCCTGGACCGGATTTTTTCCCAACCCTCCTGCGTTGTGTTCTCGTTTTGACTAGAGCACTGCGGTCTCCACCTCCCGTTTCCCTCCTCCTCTCTTCGCTCCTCCTCTCATCCCACCTCCTCTGTTTCCTCCTTCTATCCTCCCTTGCCGTCGACAGAACCTCGGCGCTGAGGACCTCGCCATCCCTGGGGGGCTGCGTTCTGCGAAACTGTCGCCATTTTCGATGGTTGCGGGGGGGGGGGCGGCATAGTGGGCACTCGCCGCAGACTCAGATAAGACCTCGCCATCCCTGGGGCGCTGCGATCTGTGAAACTGTCGCCACTTTCGAGGGCTGTTGGGGGGGGCCAGCATAGTGGGTATTCGCCGCAGATTCAGATTAGACCTCGCCATCACTGGGGCGCTGCGTTCTGCGAAACTGTCGCCACGTTCGAGGGCTGCTTGGGGGCCAGCATAGTGGGCACTCGCCGCAGGCTCAGATTAGACGTCGCCATCCCTGGGGCGCTGCGATCTGTGAAACTGTCGCCACTTTGGAGGGCTGCTGGGGGGGGCCAGCATAGTGGATACTTGCCGCAGATTCAGATTAGACCTCGCCATCCCTGGGGCGCTGCGATCTGTGAAACTGTCGCCAAGTTCGAGGGCTGCTGGGGGGGCCAGCATAGTGGGCACTCGCCGCAAATTCAGATTAGATCTCGCCATCCCTAGGGGCTGCGTTCTGCGAAACTGTCGCCACGTTCGAGGGCTGCTGGGGGGGCCAGCATAGTGGGTACTTGCCGCAGATTCAGATTAGACCTTGCCATCCCTGGGGCGCTGCGATCTGTGAAACTGTCGCCACTTTCGAGGGCTGCTGGGGGGCCAGCATAGTGAATACTCGCCGCAGATTAGTCAGCTACTGGAAACAACGGCACTCTTCTGCTTCCTCCCATCTTTTTCATCGTCACCTTATTCCCCTTGTCACCTTCTCCATGCTGCTGCTGCTGCTGCTGCTGCTGCTGCTGCGATGGCTCCCCGCCCCAGCAATTCTATCATTATCCTGCCCGTCGCTCCAGCCCCCGTTCTTCTTCAAGCCTGGGGTCCCAATCCTCGTCCTGTCGATCGTGGTCCTGTGAGTCCTGCAACGTGCGCGTATCCCATGTAGCTTGCACAACAAATCACCGCGCCCGCAGCGTCGTTGTTCCTGCCAGTATCGGCCTACGTCCCTTTCCACTCGATGCAAATTTGCTGGGTACGTCGCAGGGTGGTGTCCCCTGGTTTTGACGTCTTGTTTTGGTCCCCCCAGCATTGGCCTGTGCGCTTAGGTTCCGATCCCCCGTGGCTCTTTCAAGCCGTCCACCAGATCTCATTCGTGCCGCTTGTGTGTAGCCGACCGAAGGATGAGGAAGCCCCTCTAGGTCCCGCCATGCCACCTAGAGAAGGTGGATGCGACAGGCTGTACAGCCGCTTGTGCCAAACTTTGACGAGAAGGCGGAACAGGAGAAGGAGGAGGAGGAGGAGGAGGAGGAGGAGGAGGAGGCGGAGGAGGCGGAGGAGGCATGAGCAGGAGGAGCAGGTGGAGAGGACGAAGGAGGCGGGAGCAAAGTGGGAAAGAGGAGGAGGAGGAGGAGGGGGAGGAGCAGGAAAAGGAGGAAAAGGAGGAGGAGGCGGAGGAGGAGGTGGAAGAGGAGGAGGAAGAGGAGCAGGAGGAGGAGGGAGGAGGAGGACGAAGGAGGGAGGAAAGAGGGAGGAAAGAGGGAGGGAGGAGGAGGAGGAGGAGGAGAAGAGTAGGAGGAGGAGGAGGAGGTAAGAAGTAGGAGGAACGAGGAGGACGAGGAGGGATAAGAAGAAGAAGGAGGAGGAAGAGGAGGAGCAGGAGCAGGAGCAGGAGCACGAGCACGAGCACGAGCACGAGCACGAGCACGAACAGGAGCAGGAGCAGGAGGAGGGGGAGGAGGAGGAGGAGCCGGAGGAGGAGGAGGAGGAGGAGGAGGAGGAGGAGGAGGAGGAGGAGGGAGGGGGATAAGGTAGGAGGTAGGAGGTAGGATGACGAGGAGGAGGAGGAGGAGGAGGAGGAGGAGGAGGAGGCGGATCATGCTGGATCATGCTGGCCAAACTTTCGCGAAGCACGCGCAACGGTAGCGATGAAAGCTTCCCCTACCCCAGGCCGTCCCTGGGCGATGGAGGTCGGCTTTGGTCAAAACGGATTGCCCGTGGTGGGGTGTCGATCTTCCCACTGACAGCTCAAACGCCCAGCCATAACTCGGGGGTTTCCCTCGAGGCAGCTCGACAGCAGACCAACCCATTTGTCCTGAGCGTACCTGGCACACCGGCGACAGAAGACCACACGGGGGAGGCATATTAGCCTATGCCCCTGAGCTCGGGCTCGTTCGATCCTGCCTCCATCTCCCCCTGACCCAGCACGTGGAGGGGCGCCAGGAGGCGGAAGGTGGGGAGGCTCCAGGCCCCCTCGTCGCCCCCACCGGGCAGGGGGCCAAGGGGTTGGGCGGGTTCGAGTCCCGCGCAGCTGGACTCGAGCCCTCGGAGGTGTCAACGAGTCCTCTGCCTAACACTCCTACGTAGGCTGCGTCCTCTAGCACGTCCGAAATAAGTGTGAATCGCTGTATGTATGCAGCTCGGTGCCACGCAGGGTGCTGATGCTGTCTATAGCTCCTAGCTTCGCATACTGGTCGGCGAACTTGTTCCCCTCCCACATCTCGAGGCCCATCCCGTTCCGTTGGGCTCTCGTGGCATGGACTCGTACTTTGTCGAAGCTGATCCCTCGCGGCCCCAGACCGACGTTTGCAGCGATCAAGGCCCAGCAACGCGCCCACACGTCTCTGTGTGTCGTGGCGGGGCGCGCCGCCCACGAAGGCCCTCTCAGAAGTCCGTCGAGGACCGACTGGCAGTCGGAGACAATGATGATGGGCGGACGGGCCACCTCCAGCACGCGGAACACGGCCATCAGATCGCTTGGGAAGGTGGCCTCGGCAGGGGGCCGCAGCAGGCGTTTTGCAAGGACATGTCTTCGTCCACCTGCACGAATGACCCATCCTCCACGTCGTAGTGCAGCGTACTTGCCGTACAACAGGCTGCCATCAGTGTACATTCGGCGTGGCGAAACCAGCGAAGTCGCCCTCGACGTGGATGGTGTCGACGACGGAGATGTCCCACAGGCCCAGCTCCACGGCGGGGTCGTTGGCCAGCCAGCGGCCCCAGAGCTGCTGGGACCTTGGCCATGGGTTGGCTCCTCGCTGCGCGATGTGGGCGCCCCTCACGCGCCGACGCTCCTCCTGCCGCGCCGCACAGACTGAGGTGCGGTGTCCGTCCGTGCCCTCGCCCTTGTTGCACGCCTTGCAGATGGCGTCGGGTGCCGCTCCTTTGGCATGCAGCTGCGCCTGAGGCTACGTGCCACCGCACCAGAGCGTCCCCACGCGCGTCTGGTGCGCCTGCGTCCAGCGCCCGCGGCAAGGCCGCCGCAGGAACGTCCTCACAGTCTCAACGAAGATCGACTGCATTTTGAACTCTTTCCTCCACTTGGCCAACCACGCGTCCTTGAGGCCCTGCTCGGTGGCGGCGCGGACGTAGTGGTGCCGCTCGTGACTCGTGGAGGGGGATCGTCCTCAGGTCGATGATCTTGGTGCCGATGGTGATTGAGTACGCCGCCTAGGTCATCTAGCCGAACCTCCTGACCGTCGCCACGAAGGCCCCTGCTGGGACTCTCACTTGCTGCCATGGGGCCTTTGCTAGGCCCACTCGGAGGACCCACCGCTTCCATGCGGCCTTGAGCCTCGGCACGAGACTCGGGTCCTCCTCTGCCTCCTGCCAGGTCTGCGCCCACGCCAGGATCGGGGACGCGTGGCCAGGATGCCTGGGTCCACGTCGTCGGCCAGCAGCGTCAGGTACGTGGACCGCCCCTTGGCGTTGCCAGCCATGGCCGTCGCCACGCTCTGCCGCAATTCGCCCAGCTTGGTGTCGGCCATGCCCATGAGCTTTTCGCCGTAGAGCAACGACGGCACCTTGGCGTGCCTGATCACCTGGTGTGATGGTCGCCGGATTCGTCGGACCCTCGCGATCCGATCACGTCTGGCGGCGAACTTGATTGCCTTCTTGCTGAAGGCGCCCACTCGCCTGTACTTGCCCACAGCCGTCGTCACGCCGAGGTGCTTCTCTTCCTTCACCATCTTCACTCCGTGGGTGCTGATGCGCTTGCCGAGCTCCGCGTCCAAGGCAGAGGTCGGGGCCAGGGTGACTGTCTTGCCCTCCTCGCCCTGGGAGACCCGCATGTCCAGGACCCCCTCGAACATGTTGACCAGTGTCTGCACCAGCTGAGCATGCCAGTATTGCACGAACTCCCTGACGCCATCGCCAGGTCGTCGAAAAACAGGCAGGTGTCCGCCCACCGGAAGGCTTGGACGATCCCGTCCAACTCCATGTAAAGGACCGTCTTGAGGCAGAAGGGCGCTAACCTGCTCCTGGCCCAGCGCCGCCCGCGCGTGTAGCACCCGTCGAGGACAATGCGCCTCACCATCGCGTAGATCCTGAGGACGACCTTCAGGATGAGGCGGTTGAAGCCCCACCGCAAGCCCGCCTTCAGACCAGCTCGTGGGTCACGTACTCGAAGCACTGGACCAAGTCAAAGTACGTCACGGCGCACGCGAGCCCCTCCGCGACGTTCGCCTCGCAGAAGAGCGCCTGGTCCCAGGCCGCCCGCTCGCTTGAGCGGCCCTCGGCAGCCCAGTCGTAAGCCCGTCTGTTCGCCTCCTCCCAGCGCCTGGCGTAAGGGAAGCGGATGGTCTCCCACAACCTCGCCAGCTCTGGGATCAAGCCGAGGTTCCTGTAGCTTCCTGCGGGCTTCGCGAGCAGGCAGAACAAGATGGTGGATTGAGGCTCGGGCCATGGCGACCCCGCCTCTACCGCGTTGAGCACGCTTGCCACGCGCGCTGCTCCTTGGACGCTTCCCTGCTTCCAGAGTCGCGGATGCCAATCCGACTCTCCGAGGCCCGTCTTGGCGCGGAACTTGCCACTGGCCTCCACCAGCACGTCCTTGGGCATGATGGGTGGCGTCTTGTACTCCTCCCTCTCGAAAGCTTTGGGCGGCTGGCACCACGGCGCAGTCGGGTCGTACTCGTCGCCCCAGATCGCCTCCCAGCCCGCGAGCGAGTGGGCAGCGGCCTCCTGGGGGTGCGCGAGCGCGTGCTCGCTGATGGCCTCGTTATGTGGTGGCGTTGTCGGCTGCCACGGCACGTGCGGCTTGGTCCGCTTGTGTATGCTTCCCGCGCCTGCTGCACCGTGGTCACGTGACCACCACCTCCAGCCTGCGGCTGACACGCGTTGCACCAGCCTCCAGCCACGTCCAGGAGGGTCGCGACGCAGTCGATGTACTACACTTCTTGAGCCGTCACCTTGTCGGCGTCGATGCTTCCCGCCGTGTTCACGATGGCGGGCCACTGCACCGTGTCCCGGGTGAGCTGCCCCGCGGGCGGACTATCCGTCGACGGGCGTGCCGGCCCGTCCGCTGTCGATCGGTCCGGCGCGACACTGCGGGGCAGCGCTCCTGCCGTGAGGCGGCTCCGAACCACTTCCGCCTCCTCGCAGGGGAGATCGGGGAGGGCTGCGTCCACGCCCTCCGACAGCCTCCGACGCCGCCTCGTCCTCCCAGAGCAGCTGCCTGTTCGGCTGCGGGCTGCAGCCCTCCCGGGGGGCCCCCTGGCGGAGCCGCCGCCGAGGCCTCCGGGGCCGCCCTCATCAGCGGCACGACGATCTCGTGGGCCAGCGTGGTGTCGGCCACGTGGGTCGCTTGCCGCCTCGTCTCTTCGTGCGTCACGGAGTTTGTCCATGTCCTGAGCCGTCGTGACAGCCACTCGGCTGCCTCAGCCAAGGCCTGCTCCTGGGGCGCCTCCTTCAGCTTCGGCGCCTCCATCTAGGTCCACTTGTGGACGGCCTGCTTGAAGTGCCCCTGCCGCCGCGTCAACTCCTCCCCCTCGAAATTGTGAAAGCGGTTGAGGTGCTCCTCGTATGCCACGCCCAGCGCCCGCCAGTGGTCGTCCATGGCGTCCTGGCTGTGCCCTCTGTGCCCTGGCAGAGGGCGAGGCCACTGCGTTGGCAGCGTCGCGCATCCCATTGGTAACTCCAGCGGCCACTGCTGTGGCTTCTGGAGCGCGTAGACCATCTTGGCATCCCTATGCTGCCTCGCGGGCCTGAGCACGACGGGGGACTGCGGCGACACGTTGTAGCCGTTCTGCACCGTCGCCCCCAGCGGCCCGAGGACCAGGCTCTTCGAGACGATGAAGTAGTGTCTCTGTCGTACTGCTGCCCGAGCATCGTGCAAGAACCCTGCTGCGCGTCGTGCACGATGATCCCGTTCATCCTGCAGAGCAGCCCCGAATCCCTGATGACGTGCGGCTCCATGTTGAAGTCGCCCCCGAGCGCCAGCCACTGGTAGCCAGTGGCGTTGACGACGCTCGACCACTTGGTGAGGATCGGCTCGTTCCTGCGCGTGAGGCCCTGGCTGGTCCAGAGGTAGGCCGACCCGAAGAGCAGGCCTCCATTGTACACTCCATCTAGCCATGCCACTGTAGTCTTCCCTTCGAGGCTGGCGGTGAGATGTCCCAGCTGTTGACACCTCTCCGCGCAAAGTCCATGCCCTGGCGGCGCCGCGTGGCCACCCAATGTCCCGCTCTCCAGCCTCCATCCTTCTTAACGCTCGGCACGATGCCAAACCTCCAGCCCCTTGGCATCGCTCGGACGTGTGCATTTTTCTTTCGGCGAGGACCATCGAGGAGCATCCTTGATCATATGGCGAAAAAGCATGCACGACACCGAACAAAAACACAGGGAATGGACGTCCGAGCGATGCCCAGGCCCAGCTTTTCCCTGCGCCCGACGAACAGGTTTATCTTATGCTCGTCGGCCTGAAGCTCCTGTGCCATGATGATGGGCGTCTGCATCAGGTAGCCCACCTGCATCATGACCCGCTCCAGCGTGCCCAGGGAGCTCGCGTTGATGGTGACGAGTTCCTGGTAGCCGCGTGCGTCGTCAGGAAGACGACGGTTTCGTCCACTGCAGCTTGGAGATGGTGATGCACGTCCCAGCGAGCATGCCAGCAAGCAGAGCAACCACAGGAAGAGAGTGCACGCCCATCTGCTCGGGCGTGACGCCGCCTTCCTGCATGATCTTGCGCACCGCCTTCTCGTCGGCGCCCGCGGGGAACTCGAGCATGTCCTCCATGACGATGGTGTCGGCTGCTGCGCGCCGCTTGGCGCGGCCTCCCTGTGAGGCGGCTGCCTTACTTGCCTCCTCCTCCTCCTTGGCTCCTCCTCCTCCTCCTCCTCCTCCTTGGCTCCTCCTCCTCCTCCTCCTTGGCTCCTCCTCCTCCTCCTGCCTTACTTGCCTTACTTGCCTCCTCCTCCTCCTTGGCTCGCAGGCGGCGGGCCTCCTCGGCGGTCTTGCGGGCCTGCTCGGCCTGGGCAGCCTTCTCGCCTTCCAGCCTCGTCGGCGCCAGCGCGCGCTCCGGCGCCTCCTGCAGCTTGGCGTCGCCGTGCCCCTGGCCGCCGCCTCCACCCTCGGCGTGCCTGAGGCACCTGGCCTGTGGAGGACGATCAATAGAGGAAGCACGCTGCCAACAAAAAATCCAGATGTCTGAAAGATGTTTCAAACATGTTTGAAATGCAAAAAACAGGTTAGAAACATGTTTAGAACATGCTTTATACATTTAGAACACATCTTTAGTTCGATGATAGGATTGTTAGAGTGTCCACTGTCGTGGCATCAACAGCACTTGGCAGCCTGTTCCAGGAAGGCCACCGCCGCGCCCCATCCCTTGCCTGGGCTCGGTACCGACAGCTCCTCGATCTTCGCGCTGAGCTTCTGCCGCTTGTCCTCGTGACGCTGCAGAACTGCAAGGTCGTCGCACAGCGCCTTCTGCCCCCTTTGCCAGGCCCTCCTCCAGCCCGGCGATGCGCAGCTTGCACTTGTCCCGCTGCTACTCGACCCTGCTACGCTGCCGCACCGCCCCGCACTCGGCGAAACACCTGGGCACGCGGCACTCCCGTGTCGATCTCTGCCTGCATTTTGTCAACCCGCGCTCGGAGCGGGCCGTTCTTGTCCACCACGAGCTCTCCAAGGATGGGGTCTTCCGACGTCTTCTCGAGCTCGGCCAGCTTGGACCTCCACGTGGCAAGCTTTGTGGAGGACGATCAATGGAGAGAGAGAGCATGTCTAAAGATGTTTCAACTTTTTTATATATGTTAAAAACATGTTTGAATCATGTTTGCAAATGGCGGCTCGGGCGCAAAATGGCTAGGAGGAGGAGGAGGCAATGGAGGAGGAGGGAGGAAGTAGGAGGTAGGCGGTAGGAGGAGGTCGAGGAGGAGGAGGAGGAGGAGGAGGAGGAGTAGGAGGAGGTCGAGGAGGATGAGGAGGAGGAGGAGGAGGAGGAGGAGGGAGGGAGGACCGCGCTCAGGGGACTGCGCCGGGCTCAGGAAGCAGAACAGGACCCTGCAGGCGAGGCTCAAAGAGGCTGGCCCTGGGGGCGCTCGCGGCCATGGGGAAGGATGGAGGGGAGACGGGAGCAGCATGGAGGAGAGAAAGAGGAAGACCCATGACGGATGGATGGTGGTGTGATGGCGATGATGGTGATGGTGATGGTGATGATGTGGATGTTGATGTTGATGTTGATGGTGATGATGATGATGCTGATGATGATGATGATGATGATGATGATGGTGATGGTGATGGTGATGGTGATGGTGATGATGATGATGATGATGATGATGGTGGTGGTGATGATGATGATGCTGATGCTGATGCTGATGCTGATGCTGATGCTGATGCTGATGCTGATGCTGATGCTGAT